ATCATCTGCTCATTGCTCAAGCCACTCTGTGGGGACTGACGAGTTTTCTGCTATAGGCTGACACTGCTCAGAGGAGGGGTACAGTAAGCATCAACCTCCACACCCTTCTCCCTTGACAGCACAAATCTGTGCTATGCAAATGTTGCTCTTGCCCTGGATGTGCAGCCAACACAACTGCAAATACCAAAACTATGCTTTCACAGGAGCAGAACTACAGTTGTGCAGTTTTACAGGAGCTCCTGAGCAGGTTTGTGGGGTGAAAGTGCTGGCTTTCCTACTAGATGTGCTTATACTGGAACAACACCCCAGCCAACTTCTCTTTTTCATATGAAAATGCCATTATTACCTGCTTCACCCTGCTTCTCTGTGGCAAGAGCTCAAGAGATGGTGCAAGAGACTTGAAATGAGCACCCTTCCCTTGCCAATTTATAGTTAACTTCCCAAGTTGAGCAATTCTTTGGCAGTTTAGGTGCTTGGTTTTCCTTTTTGTTTTACACCAGTTTCAATATTTTTCTTATTTTTTTTTTCTTCTTTCGCATTTTTTGGTAGCTTCTACTTGGGGGTTATTTATTTTGGTAGGATGTTTGGTGTACGGTTTGGGGTTTTTTTGGGGGGTGGTGCACTTTTTCAAAATAGTTGTTTATAGGATTTGTTTCTTTACTGCTGGCTTTCCAGTTTGTTCTGGTGTGTCTGTAGGACTTTTATTGATTAATTGAGGTGGGGGTTGTTTTTGAAGGGGTAGTTCTGTGATTAAAGAAAACCACATAACCAAAACAATCACATAACAAAGAGATTGCTGAAAGCTAACAAGCTGATCAGTACTGTGACTTAGAAGCCCATTTCCCCTGAGATAAGTCTCCTTTATGCTTGAGTGCAAGCAGACAGTTGATGGAGAAGGCCAGAAGAGGTATGGTGGAGAAAGACAGGAGAGCTTGAAGGTGCAGTTCCCTGCAGTGGCCCATGCTGGGCCATGTTGGTGCCCATGCAGCACTGGATCTTTGTCACTCCCTGACATGCACCCACAACCAGAGCTCAGAAATAAGCCCTCTGAGTCACTGCTAGACAAGGAAGTAGGAAGAAGGGCTGGCTTAAGTGATCACTGTGGCTGCTGTTTGGTAAGACCCACAGTCAAGAGTAAGTCAGTTTGAAACCAACCAAAACTGCCAGAAACTGAGAGCAGCTGATAGAGGTAGCAATCAACACCAGAGGGAGTAAGAAATCAGGGTTGATCCTGCATCAGAGTTGCAAAGCCCCTGCCAGGACAAAGCAAGCTGATTTTAGATAAGGGCTTTGAGTCCATAAAAACATAAGAAAAATGAGGGCAGAAGAGCAAAGAGAGCAGAAGAGGGAGCATTCTGACCCAGTAATGTCAAAACAAGAAACAGTGCAAGGACCTAAGAAAGCTCAAGACCTCGACTGCCCCAAAGTGTGCATAATGGTGATAAATCGCACTGTGTCTCATTTTGCCCATGTTTAACAACCTCAGTTGTATCCTGCAGCCTGTGACAGCAAAGGTACAGTCCAGGTGAGCAGTGGCACAGCTTGCCACTCTGGCAAGGCTAAAAAGTCTTGCCATGGGGTGAAAAAAACTCTCCTTCTCCTGTGGAGGAGATCCTCACCCACTTGCTTTTTGCATGAATGGAAGAGGAGACCAAAAGGGTCCTTCAGATGGTGCAGTGTCAGCATGCCCAGCCAGCAGCACTCATGGGAGCAGGGCTCAGCAGCTTGCCTGGTCTCTGCTCAACCTGTTGGTTTCACCCCACATACAAGAGAGCTAACTCCATGAGACTACTTTTTGGGGGAGGAAAGAGGAGCTGATGCTCATGGGCAATATTTCCAAGTACCTCCACCATTTGCCCCTGTCACCCTGCCATACAGTACAGCCAAGCAAGGGGCAGCCAGCTGTGTTGTGAGAAGTGTCATTTCTGTCATCCACTAAACAACAGGAGGAAAGCCAGCTGGTGTATAAGGAAATAAAAAATCAACACATGGTACTATTATTTCCACAGCTACCACGAAGTGAAGCCTTTCCATGTTGCATTTGGTTTCGTTTCTCCTGATTCTCATCACAGGGTGTAGGTGGAGCCTGTAAATAAGCACCAGAAGAAGTTGGAAAGAAGTTACTGCTTCTCCTTGCTACAGGACACTACACAGGTAGAATTTTCTCTTTTGCCTCTTCTAAAAATAGTCATGCAGGTTTGGACTGTTATCTTCATTCCTTTCAATACTTGCATGTGAGAACGCTGTATAAGATTCTAAAGTTAGTGTGGTTAAATAAGATTGCCAGAAGTAGGATTCGTTGTTTCTTGGGGTGGGGAAAAAGACAGTAGTATTATTTCCTCTTTAAAGGGTGAACACTGAGAGACAGCATTTAAATCAGAACACATTTTTTAAAGTATCTACTGTGTGGAGGCAGTGTTCAGCAACATGGTCTAGCTGGCAGTATTCATGTGTAGCATCATAAGCTTTGAATTGCTTCATTCTTTTTCTAAGACAGCTAGAATTAATAAATGTACAACTCAGAGACCATGTAGTTTACCCAAATATCCTGAAGTTGCAGGATACATCAGGCAGAAGTCCATGTGCTGCTCTAGCTGGACAAAGAGTGAATAAATGCAAGATCTGTGTGGGTTCAGTGCCACAGCTTTGCACCTTAGGTTTGATAGCTAGCTTTGTTATTACCCCTCAAGATGCAAAGCTGGGGTTGTTAGAGAAGAATGAGGCAATTCGTCTTCAGGACCATCAGCAAGTTCATGCTTCACAATGATGTGGTTGCATAGCTCAGTGTTATGTGTTGTGCCAGGGGAGATTTCTGACACACAGGCAGACAAACCTCTAAAGGTAAGGTTCAAGGAAAACAATACTGTCCCAATAATGGAGGCAGAAGCAGCTCTGGGAAAGAGGAGTGTTATCAGACTTTCAGTATCGGCACGTCATCCAGGTGTCATGTTTCATGTATAGATTCTGGCCAGTTTCAGAAAGGCACTATAAAATTGAAGCTCTTTTCTTCCTCTCCTATCTGTTTTTCATCGATGCTGTCAAGGCACAGCACACAAAGAAATCTGTATGTCTGTATGGCACAGTGAGGGATTGCACCAACCTACCTAGCATTTTTCAGGTCCAGATGAAGAATAGATGTGTAGCCCCATACTCGCTGATTACTGTAGATAATGCATTGCTTACTGTAGGTATCTTTGTTAGCCTGTGTATCTGTGTGTGCATGCTGTGGTCTGTACTGTAGGCTTAGCTAAAAACCCAGGTATATGGTTAAGATACAGCTCTTGCACTAAAACATTTCAAAGTTGGCACTTCCTTTGTCAGACTCCTTAAATCTGTTTCCCAGATGTTACAAGTTCATCTTGGAAGATCTTTCTATTTTTATTTTTCCTGGTGGCTTTACTACACCATTTTTGCATTTCATCCTATTCATTACAAGGATATCTAAAGCTTGCTATATAACCTCTTTCTGAAGGAAACACATCTATGTTTAGGAGGCCATATGCTAAAATCAGTACACTAATAACTCAGCCCAATGAATATAAATAATGTAAAAATGATAGAAAATTGTTCTCAGATAATATTTACATTAAATTAAAAAATCATAGAAGTGTTTGGTCCACTAAATTGAAGCACAGGTAAGGAATGGGGAATGAGAAAGGCAATAAAAGGGAATACCGTTAGAAAAATTATTACCAATAAATTATTTCCTGTAGCAATAGCAAATCACTGAAGAGTTTGGTGGCCACTGAATGTGGAATGTATATTTGTTGCAGATAAAGCACTGAAACCTCATTTGCAGAAGAAGAATCTTTGAATTCATTAATAGAAAAAGGTTCATACTGGAATATTAAAGAAAGGGGAAGTGTGGAGAAAGATGAAGGAACTGTAAAATAAGTAACTACAAAGAAACAAAAGTAGTTCAGTTATCTTTTACTGCTGGCCAAAAATGAGAAATTTCCCATAGGCTGTTTTGGGGTTTTTTGCTTTGTTTAGTTTTTTAAAGAGAACAGGAATAACTACTAAAAAATATTGCTTTATTTAAAAGAAAGTCCAAATAGCAAATGTGGAATTAATCTTTTCTTTTTTCTAAACTTGTTTTATACTGAAAGTTTAACTTGGGTCTGATCATCCTGTTTTGACACCTGCTCAAATTAGAAAACCTGTAAACCTAATTCAACCAAAAAATTTAAAACCCAGAAAGTTTTTTCAAGCAAAAATGTGTTTCTCCAAATTAATTTTCTTAAGTATTTGAGTTAAACAGATCTTAGTTTTGGCAGGGAAAGGTTAAAAAGAAATAAATCTATCTTTGAAAAAATAATTCTGTGTTTTTCTCTTTAAATCATTCTAGAATTTCTCTTTAAATCATTCTGGAAGCTGCTTCCCCTGCAAATGTCACATCAAAGGCCTCTGATTTCTTCAGTCACCCATAGAAAATGTATCAACAAAATTTAATAAAATGGAAATCTGACAAAGAAGAAAAAAGAGTCTCCTAGTTGTCACTTCTCTAACATTATGTCAAGCAAAGTTTGCTTTTTGGAGAGAGTTTTAATTTATAGAGGAGGGGAACTAAGACTTCTAAAATAGGGGTAAGACTTGCCTCTGCCAAGTGTTTCTACTGCAGGAGAGGTGACTTGGCCTCATAGCAGACTATGTCTTGATGTGTCCTACTCTCACTGCCATTGGCCCACCCATGTAAGACCCTCTTTGTGCAGCAACACAGACCTATACTCCTGACCCCAGGTGACTGAAGTTAGCATTTGCACACTCTCTCCAGCCATGCCCAGCAGCTGCTATACTGACTGAGGTCCTCAAAACACCTTTCAGCATAATATTTCATTTGAAAATCCTGTGGCAGCTGATATCTGCTGAGGGTTTGAATCAGTAAATAAAAGTGGTGTTTGATTTTCTCTGCTATGATAACTGTTACGAGTTTAGTCACTCAGTGCCCTATGTTTGATTTCAGGAGCTATATAAAGGAGTAATTGGACCAAAGAGCAATGACTAGTAAAGCACCGATGGACAGTCTACCGGGTAAGCCAAAAATTCAGCGGGCCATGGATAATAAGATTGTAGTACTCAACCAACCTTTTGATGGAACAAAATTTGCCCTAATGAAAAATGGTTTTGCATTGCATTCCTTATAACCATCTTTCAAAGCTTTTGCAGTACCTCTTCCACCAGAGTTAGAAGATGAAGTTACGATGATGGGTAGCGTGATGGAGAGAAAGCCTAACTGTGACCATAAGGAGTTGAAGAAACAATATTATGGAGAAGAGGACAAAGTAAGGCAGATACCAGAAGGTGGCATAGATGCTCCCCATTGTTATTCTTTTGCTTCACTTTGTACTCCAAAATGAATTTTGTTGTCTCTTTGGTCAATCTGATCTTGTTAGGCCTAAGCAGAGGAGTACTTTTGGGATCAGGGCCAAGCAGTCCTTTGTGTAACTAGGAAGTTAAGTACCTGCAATTAATCTGCAAGCATAAAAAATACAGGTGTAAAAAATAGGATGGCAGCAGCCTAGCAGCCATTTTAATGTGCAACATATATCTGCTTCATTGGTAACAATTAGCAAATGTTGAATAGAAATCCTTTAGGAGATTTTTTTTACTTAAGGCTCTTCTATCTTCAATAGAAATATGAAGATTGATCATTATCTGTGTTGAAAATTTGACACTGATTGGTTTTCAATCTGTGTCATAGTTAATGAAGTTCCTTCAAAATGGTTAGAATTTACCAGCTAGTAAATATCATAATGAAGAACCTTACCAATAAGGTTTTTAAATACCTGCTGCCAGTAATGTGTGATATCTTTCTTATTTTGAAAGAAAAAAGCTGCTGTGTTTGATTATATACGACTGATAGATGTATTTTCAGAGGTGGCTTTCTTAGACGTAGGCGAAGGTGGGAAAATCCTGGTTTTCTTCGCAAGAAATTAGGTATGAATGTGCCTGACCCATTAGGGTTTGTAAGATACTGGTGTTATCAGAATTACACTTTTAAATGCAGCAGCCAGACCAGAATGGAGACAGGAATAGGGAGAAGAAACCAAGCTGAACCAACTTTAGGTGACCATATTTAACAGCAGGTGGACCAGTTTTGTAAAGGGATGGAAATTATTTGGTTTAGTTTTATGAAAATGAAGAGCCTTTGTTAATACCTGGCATATGTATCAAAAAATAATAATAATCTTTCATTTAAAACAAATCATTCATCCTTTACCCTAGCCTAAAATGAGTCACAGAAAGAAGAGCCATCATGAACTAAAAGATTTTAGCCACCTGTTAAGGATGCTAGATCAGAACACTTTCAGTGTCGGTGCAAAAATTAAACCATCAAACTTCAAAACAAAGATTTAATAAGTTATTGTGTACTAAATTCTCTTGCTACTGGGATTAGATTTCAGTTGCATACACATCATCTGGTACAACTGTAGATGAATGGAAGAAAATGGTAGCTATTTTTTATAAAAACTACAACAGTAAATTAACAAAGCACATTTAGTAATGAGTCTCCCTTTACTCTTTACCTTCTCACAATAGCTTACTAAGCTTGGTATTTTAACTGAGGATAATCATTGAGCCAACATCAACTGATTTTGTCCTATTTACAGACACCTGTGTATAACATGGAGGTGCAAGGATGCATAATGATATGAAGTACAGCTTGGCCAGAAAAGATGCCTAAAAGTGGGGTGGTTTTGTGTGGAAACAACTTCTTTTAAAATAATCAAAAATTAATTGTAAATTTAACTCTAACAGGCAGCAGAACGTACCTTGTATAACCAATATGAAGAAAAAATCCGACCCTGCATTAATCTCATCGATAGCCTAAGAGCTCTCGGAATAGAAAAAGACATGGCTTTACCTGCAATTGCAGTGATTGGAGACCAGAGCTCTGGGAAAAGCTCTGTCCTAGAAGCCCTGTCTGGTATTGCTCTTCCTAGAGGCAATGGTAAGGATTCACTTTCTCAGAACTTACCTGAATTTCACTTTTTAGAAGGGATTTTTATTATTTTATTTTCTAGAATTGGATAACTCCATGCCTGAGACTGTATCTAAATTGTGAGATCCCAAGGGCCTTCTCAGCTCTGGTCTCCAGTAGAAGAAACAGATGTGCAGCACAGGGTAACTTCAACAAGGCACACTTCCTGGGTGGTCAAGAGACCAGGAGTAAGAAAAGTATAGTGTAATGTACTTGTCCCAAAATGTGGCCAGATTGAAAGCTCGCATCAGCTGATTCTGTACATTTCCCAGCAGAGTAGTGCAGCAGAGTATCGGTTTCACATAGAAGATTAGCTTTGAAATTTGCTTTTGAAGTTGGTTTGTGGGTTTCTTCAAACAAGATTTTCTTACAGATACCTATTGTTCTTTTTGTTCTTTCTTTTTTTTTTTTTTTTTTTTTGTACGGAAAAAAGTATACAAAGATCTCTGTTAACAAATATGTGCCTCGAATGTTATGTAAGTCAGAGAAGATTGTTGGAAGACTTTGCTGCTCATGATTCGCCTTCCAGTTCTCTGTGTGTGTATATACACAAACATAAGGTCTGCAAGTTCTGTGTGCATTGACAGTGCCATTTAGTCTTTCAAGCTGGACTTGAGGAAAAGGTTCTCATAGGATATATGGCAGCACCAAAACAAGTCACCCAGAGAAGTGCAAATCTCCATCCTTGGAGGCTTGCAAGACAAACTATGGCTGGACAGAGCCATAACTGACCTCGTTAGTGCCAATGACAGTCCTACTCTGAACAAGTCAGATGACAGCCCTTTGTCAAAGTTTCCTGAAACATTTCTGTGTCTCTGTGCAAAGTATTAGGCAGCCCTATGTACGCCATGCAGTCCATAGCTGTGCATCATGCGTAACAGCTGCTGAGAGAGTTACCTCTGTCTTTGGAACTGCTGCAGGTATTGTTACTCGATGTCCCTTGGAACTTAAACTGAAAAGAACACCTGCCACCCAGCCATGGAAAGGGAAAATTCGTTACCGCAATTTTAACATAGAGCTCCACAGTGCCTCTGAGGTGGATAATGCAATAAGACAAGGTGAGCTGTAATGTATTCCCCTCTGATTCCGCTTTCTCAATCTCTGAATCCTTTCTCATCTTTTCTTAGGCTAAGCAGCAGTCCCCAGACTGTAGTGATTACACAATAACACAGTGATTGTAGCCAGCAGTAACACTAAGAGCTGGATTTAGAGCAGAAGATGGTGGGGGAGCATAACATATTTCTCTTATGAAAGTTGTACCACTTATTAGATCAATAGTGAGGATGACCCATGATGTCCAATAAAAGGCCAGGCTGTGTCCTCAGCTGGATGCTGTCTGCCTGGTTTGGGAAGGTTCTCAGTCAAATACGAAGCCTTAACTGGTCCCTGTCATCAGTTCACTCAGAGAATGTTTGAGGTGTCTGTGCCTGTAAAACTTACGATTTTGGAGAAAATTGCAAGAAGGCAGACTAGAAAGCATAAAGAGCTTCTGCCAGCTAGTGTGACTACAGCCTCAATCACTGCACTTTTTATGTCATAGCTTTGATTTTGTGGTATTTTATGCTGTGCAAGGAAACATTTTTCTTGCCCAAAGTATGGTAAGGTCTTTGTGAAAATTGGATTGTTCTTATTTCTTTGACTAACACTGCTCTGCAATATTGTTAATTTCCTAATGTTTTTCCATTAGCTTTTCAATATATTATTTTGGTGTTTTCAACATATCCTTCCAAAACTGGCCAAGTAAGTGGTATGAATTGATTAATCTAATTACAGAACTGAAAATTCCTCCTAATAATGACTACTGAGCTTCCTTGCTTGTCTGTACTGTTCACAGTTCAAGCAGTATCGCCTTACAAGATTTGGGACAAATCACTTGATCTCTCAACCTATCAAAATGTGAAGAATATAGAATGTCATTATCTTTTGAGGCAGCCAAGGATTAATTAATGCCTACAAAGTGTCTTAACACTGAGAAATCGAATTTCTAAAACTGATCACTATTCTGTCTTATCACTTTTGTTGTGGTTTACTTATGTGTATTTTGCGTATATGAAAGTTAATAAGTATATGCTCTGTAAAATATTAAAGTTCACATTGCAAAAGGACTCCATGTATCCACAAATTGCATAATAATTTCTTTATATTTTTACATTAATGGATTTACGTGCATGTCTGGATGCCATGCCTAAAAAAGCCAAGCCTAAAAGTACTTTAGTTGGTAGCAGATATTTTTCAAAGTCATTGTGCTCAACTTCACTTTCATGCATTATTTGAAGCTTATATTCATTGACTTGTTCTTTTCTTCTTCAGCCCAGAATGTTGTGGCTGGTACTAAAGGTGCCATTAGTGGAGAACTAGTTTCTCTAGAAGTTTGGTCGCCAGACGTACCAGATCTGACATTAATTGATCTTCCTGGAATTGCCAGAGTGGCTGTGGGGGACCAGCCAAAAGACATTGGGGAACAGGTAAAACTCAGTCTCGCACCAATCTGTTCATCCAGTCACTTCTGTAACCTACCTCATATACAAGCCTTTGCTGTAGGATGCTGAAGTTATTATGCTGGGCTTCTGAGCCAGCAATAAAGCTACACTGACAAATAGGCCTATTTTTCAGGCAAGGAATTGCTCACAGGAACAGCGAGGCCCAGGATCTTCTGTCTGCCCTGTTGTGCCAGAGGCACACTAGCTGTGAAGGAGCCAGGTCAGGGGCCCTGCCACAGCCTACCCATGGGAGCATGGAATAAGCCACCCATATGGACCCTGAACACAGTGTTGCCTGTCTGTACCTTGGCTAGACTGCAGTCTGGAAGATAGATAGATTCCAAAATGAGTTGTCACTTACCAGCTTTTTGGGTGCATTTGGCAAAGGTGAATAGATCTGAGCTCTTGTAAGCTCTCCTGGAACAAGGCAGCAAATTGGCCCTTTTACAGGTTTTTCGCTCTGTCATCCCTTACTTATGGAGCTCATCAGAATCAGACTCATCCTGGTTTTTCTCACCCCTTAAGGGGTCCCAGCAGACCCTTTTTCAAGTAAACGGAATATGCACTAAATTGGGGGGGATCTCTGCTCTTCCTCTGGTTGCTTTTAGAAGAAACGCTGGGGAATGCAGATAAAACTCTAGTTGGACAAGGCCATCCTTTGTCTCTAAATTGGAGAGACATCAATTTGATGGATGGACCACTCGGTGGATAAACAGCTGGCTGGATGGCTGCATGCAAAGAGTTGTGGTCAATATCTCAATGTTCAGCTGGAGACCAGTAAAGAGTGGTATCCCTCAGGGATTGATGTTGGGACTGGTCTTGTTCAACATCTTTGTCGCTGACATGGGCAGTGGGATTGAGTGTGCCCTCAGCAAGTTTGCTGATGACACCAAGCGGTGTGGTTCAGTCCACAGAACGGCCATGGGGATGATCAGGGGACTGGAGCACCTCCCGTATGAAGATAGGCTGAGAAAGTTGGGGCTGTTCAGCCTGGAGAAGAGAAGGCTGCATGGAGACCTCATAGCAGCCTTCCAGTATCTGAAGGGGACCTATAGCGATGCTGGGGATGGGCTATTCATTAGGGACTGTAGTGACAGGACAAGAGGTAATGGGTTAAGACTTAAATGGGAAGTTTAGATTGGATATAAGGAAGGAATTCTTTCCTGTGAGGGTGGTGAGGTATTGGAATCGGTTGCCTAGGGAAGCTGTGAATGCTCCATCCCTGGTGGTGTTCAAGGTCAGGTTGGACAGAGCCTTGGGTGAGATGGTTTAGTGTGAGGTGTCCCTGCCCATGGCAGGGTGTTGGAACTAGATGATCTTAAGGTCCTTTCCAACCCTAACTGTTCTATGATTCTATGATCTATAAGGATGATGTGCAGGAGCTGGGTGTACTGTTTCTCCTAGAATACCTTTAAATTGGAACTTGGAATAAGAGTAGCCCAAACTGAACTAGACATACCAATAAAACTGAGACAAGATTAGATTATCTGATCTTAATTCCCTGGGAGAAGCCTAATTTTATTTCACACTTAGTAATCTTTCTATTGTATTTAGAAGAAAGCAGCAGGTAAGACAAGATTGGATTATCTGAGCTTAATTCCCTGGGAGAAGATGAATTTCATTTCACACTTAGTAATCTTTCTATTGTATTCAGAAAAAAGCAGCAGGTATGACACATTCCACACATTTTCAGCCTGCATCCCTCATAGACAGAGGCTATAGCATTGTAGCATGTTAGAAATTGGGATGAATGTGAAGTAGGAAAGAGATGCACCTTTACCAAAACTCAGCAGAAAAAAAGAATAAACTTACTTTAGTATAAACACAATAGAGGTGTGTAAACCTTTTGTAATACAACACAAACTATGGCAAACTCTTTTAGTCTGGCATTGGAACATAGAAGCAACACCAAATAGATGACTTGTGTGACTTGGGGTTTTTGTTTGGTCGCCTGGTTTTGGTTTGAGGTTTTGGGTTGGATTCTTTTCCCACAAATACTCCACTGAAATGTAAGACAAAGACATTTTCTCTCCTTTCAGAGATACAAATTTGAGATTTATCAACATGATCTATCTTGCTTTCTGTAAGTGTGTACCTTGGCATCAGAACTTGTTTTTCTCACATGTGATTATTCGCAAAATATCTTCAATATTTCCATGACAGATTATATGCATGAGAAGTTAAACTGCAGATAGCTCTCAGGACAGGTATAACATCTAAACATGCTAGATGTTTGATTAATCTTGACATAGAAAAAGAGGCTGCATTTTACTGCTGATCCATTTCCATGCTATCCTTTAGCATGTAATACTATCCTTAGTAATTGTGACATTTAATGCCATTAGGCAGTGGCTCATATTGCTAGAAATAGTCACATCTTACGTGGAAGCATCTAATTTCACTGAATTTTGTTAATGCTGCATTGCATTCCAGATCAAAATACTACTTAAAAAAATTATTCGCTTCAAAGAAACACTCAATTTGGTAGTGGTGCCATGTAATGTGGATATTGCAACAACAGAAGCATTGAAAATGGCTCAAGAGGTGGATCCCAGTGGAGAAAGGACACTAGGTGAGACAGTTTTTTATCTACAAGTTGAAGAGAAATGTGAATCTTGTTTCCATGAAGGTCTGATGCTCTGTATTCCATGCTAGATCTGTAGAATTAGCTACTAGAAGAAGGAAAAGACAGCCTAAATGAACTATTTACAAAGCTTGAGATGATCCAGTAGCTCAAAGAATCCCTCAGTTTTGAGTCTCGCTGGCATACGTGTTATAACTGCGGGAAAGCTTTGCTGCTGCCTGTTAAAAAAGGATTTGCAAGGCAAAAAGAGAGTGGGAGGCCAACTGCGGAGCAAGTTTTATAGTGCAAAGCCCAAGAGCTGACAGCTCTCTAGAGGAGAAAAAAAAACCCAAACAAATGACGAGAAGTTGCTTTATAAAGCAAGGTGCAGAGTATTCCTGCTCTGGGTGTCCTGCTACACCTCTCCCACCTTTAATCTCTGCACCTGACTAACTTTCTCTTTGTGTAATTTCCCAGGGATCCTCACAAAACCTGACCTGGTGGATAGAGGAACTGAAGAGTCTGTCATTAAGATAATGCAAAACAAGGTCATTCCCCTCAAAAAAGGTTACATGATTGTGAAGTGTCGCGGGCAGCAGGACATCCACGACAAACTGTCCTTGGCTACTGCAATCCAGCAGGAGAGAAAATTCTTCCAGGCTCACAAACATTTCAGGTACTTCTCACAGCAAGGACCTAATCGAAAACATATTAAAGTCACTTCAAAGCTTCCCGTTGACTTGCTGAGATTTAAATTAGGGTTAGAAACAGGTATTAATGATACGCACTATTTCTCATTGCCCATGTAGTGTTACATTCGAGGAAGCCAGAAGAATTTTACACATCAAATAGAACTTTAAAATGCATTTTGGATACAAGTTTGACATATATATCTCCCCTTAACCCTGGGAGAAGTGCAATGGTCTTCGAAAGTTCAGAATAGTCTCAAAAAATCTAATTTAAGCATCTTACGTGCTTAAGCACTTCAAGTCACGCACTGAAGTGTTTCTATGCACTGGGAAACATGGTTAAACTCAGCATGAGAAAGGATACTGCCTGTGCTAAGGGCACAGATTTCCCCAGAAGATGACTCAGCAGCAAAGCAATCATAACATAGAGAATGGTAGGTGAAAAGGGTTTGGAATCAGTGTACTTCAATGCAGAAATAACACAGCAGCACATTAATCTGCTGTTACAATTTGCTATTTTCAGGTTCTTCCCTGTTTCCATTTGCTTTGCCAGTAGCAGTATCTGACAAACAACTCTTGTGTAAAATGCCCAGAGTCCTGGGCTGCTGCCGCATCTGTGCTTGCACTGCCCAGACATCCCTTATTTTACTCAATTTGTGTATTTACTCAAATTGTGTACAACTAGTGAAAACAGCAAAGCATCAGTGCTACCTCCTTGCCCTGCCCATGTAGTCTACTCAAAATCACCTTTTCCTCTTTTTTTGCAGCATTCTGCTGGAAGAAAAAAGAGCTACTATCCCTTATCTGGCAGAAAAGCTCACAAATGAACTTGTGAGACATATTATTGTAAGTAACAGAAGTGCTATACTAAGCTGTGTTAGTTACAATCTAGAAATAAGTTCAGCCCTTCAACCTTGGGTTGCAATTGATTGCAATCGGATTGCATCTTTGCATGCATAGAGAGCACTTAATTATCCTTCAGTCCAACAATCTGAGGACAAATTGCACTGAGAGTTAAAGGTGAAAAAAACTGTGTTCTATTAATCTTAACCCGAACATTACAATAGGCAAATAATTTCATTTGTGACTCATAACTCCTGCCTTTTCAATGACAGCCGTGTTATTTCTTCTTGTTTGTGAATGCTGATTGACTGGGTGACAAGTTACTGCTATGAGCTTACTAAAACACAATAATTTCTATTTAACTGAAAATGTTTTTAAAAAAATCAAGTAAGACGTAACTGTTTTATTATGTTATTATACTAATGTAAATATATTGGACTTTTAATTTTATAGACATGTATCTGTATGTAATACATCTTATTCCATTAAGGGAAAATGCTAAAATACAGGGAGCCTCTAAATTCAGTACTGAAGGAGAAAAAACAAGCATTTACATATTCTGATGCAACTAAACAGCTGTGTTCACTCAGGCATTTATCAGGAATGGAAGGGTCAATGCATTCCCCACATCACCACCTCCCTGGCACAACCTGTGAGGACATAGTTTTTGGCTCACTATAGATGAAATGTTGCTAGGGACTATTGCTAGGTTGCCTAGGGACTGTAGCTGCTCTGCCCACCTCACAGTGATGTCCAGCTTGTCTTCTCAGAGGGGTCTTAGCCCCCTGCCTGCTCTCAATGAAGGCCATATTTGCATTTCCATGGTATCCCACTGTCATGTGTGGGATGCAAGGACAGCAAGCTCTTAGACTTCAAAGAACAGCAAAGATCTTGTGCAGGTATAGGTCATTCTTAGAGTGATTTTATTTGCCTTCCAAAACCAAACATGTTCAACCTACCTAAATATCCTTCTTCACTGTCTACCCACCAGAACACTTTGCCAGCACTGGAGAACCAAATTTATGAGGCACTCCAAAAAACATTACAGGATCTACAAAAGTACAGAACAGTCTCACCCACAACAGAGTCTGAGAAGCTGACTGTCCTCACCGATGTGAGTATCAGTATTGATTTTGTCACAGAGCAGAATGAAGAGGTAAACATGGGAGAAAAAGAAAACACTAACAGTTAGGAAACCATTGGCATAGAGCACCAGGAAGCTTGTGGTATCTGTCATCGAAGTGTTTCAAGAGCAACATAGACAAACCTCTGGCAGGAATACACCATAGCTGCAAAAATAATGGACCACAGGAGCTCCTGGTCCCTTCTAGAAATATTTTTCATGTGATTATGTGATGAGAACTGAACAACAACTCGGTTGAAAGGTCAAACTCAAGCATTTCAGGGATGGAAAAATTACACTCCTGCCTGCCAAACATTTTGAAGGGTTTATATTGTTTACAGCACTCATCGAATGCATTCTTGATATCAAAATATGGTTTACTACCATCTAAGTATCTTATCTTGGGGAACTAATCCCTTACAGAAAGCTTTTGGGAGGCCAGCAGGGGCACTTATGAAGGCTCATCAGCCTTCAAAGGTTTCATACAAGTCTGGTCAAATAGAATTTGCTAAATGGTTCTAAGAGTCCACAGGAAAGGAAAAACAAAAAAAGTATCAAGTTTGTTCTCCTCCAGCTGTGCTGGTTTGGGGACAGCCAAACAAAAACCAAACAAAACAACAGGAGTTACAAGCATAAAAGATGTAAGGAAGGGATGTTTTCAATGAACCACGTTCCTGCCTTAACATCAGAAGATTGCAGATTTGCTTTACAGATGCAAGTCAGTCTGGAGAAATTAAACTTTACAACGTTCTTGCTTGTTCTTTAATTCACTACAGTTGATCAAACTCTTTAACCAAGATGTCTCTCAGACAATACGTGGAGAGGAACAGTTGGTTGGAAATGAAATCAGACTTTTTACAAAAATCCGCAAAGAGTTCCAAACATGGGAAGCGGTCCTCCTAGAGTGTGCTGCAAAGGGTAAGTATAGAAAACCGTTGTTTGCAGCTGAACTGAGATTCTATTCCCTTGCTTTTAAATCAAGACACAGCATCATCAATGGGTTGTTCCACGAAAGTAAAAACAAGAAGCAGGAAGCATGCATCTGTTGTAGTGTTAGGCAAGTTATGCTTTAGTCCTTGAGGAAAAGGACGGAGCTTGTGTTAAATGCTGTCATTACGGAGAGATCAGTGAATCTCTCTCTTCTCCCAGCAAAACAGTAAAATCAAGACTATGGGCCCTGCCACAAAACTGGTTGGCGAGTCTCTGAACCATTCTTCTAAATAACAGCAATAAACCAAACATATCATTATCATCATTATAATTATTTTAAACTATATAATGAATCTGCTATAATTCTATTACTATTTTTATTATTACTATTATTAGGAACATTTTGCAATTTTGGTCTTTTTTGTTCTACTTTAGCTCTGGTTTAAGGGGTGGAGAAAGCAATTCTGAGTCTGAAATCACCACACCTTGTAAAGAGCACCCCTTCCCGTGTATCTCCCACTTTGCTAATTGCTTAACTGAATTCAGAGCTAAACACAGTCATAGGGTGATGCACACAAGCTGAACTCTGCCGCACACTCAACATCTTTTGCAGCATCTCCTGCACATCTTTCAGAGACCCCATCACTTGCTCTTAGAGATGAATTAGCATCAGCTATCAGACAAGCAGTTCTCAAAGCAAATACTATGCACATCTATGTCAGCATTACTAGTCACTCTAAAATGATAGGTACAAATAGGCTGCAAGAATGACATCAACCAGAGACAAACATATATATATATATATGCATATATGTAAAGACAGACAGACATTAGTGTATGTTAACATCTCTTATGTCACACCCATGAAATATCAAGCCAATCAACATGATTTTATGGACAGGAATAAAAGAGTAAGATAATGAAGGCATGATGAAATAGACAAAAAAAAAAAAAAAGTAAATAGCAGAAAGCACTAGCAGAAGGATGCAACTTCTTCACAGGACAAGAACAACTGAGTTGCATTACAAGGCATTCCAAGGCAGCTGAACCACAGTGGGGAACCGTCTGGGCTCTTTCAGGTTATCCCCATTGATTTAAACTAATACATCTAACTTCACAATAGGATCACGTAGCAACACACAGCAGCTGTTACAACAGCATAACTCTTGCTGACAATATGCTACCCCAAAATCATGTGTATACATGCCCAGATAAAGTATTTACATGTGCAGCAAAGTAAGTTCACTTACATAACTTGAAAACTACAGGTAGCTTTAGCGAGCTCTTCCTCAACAAAAGGCACTATTATCAGTCATCTCTAGGATTTCTGAAGGTACATCATCGCATGTCAGATGACACAGTTTAACTTGAGCTTTCTTACGATGAAGGAAAGTACTAAGAGTAGTAGACCCTTTCGATATTTGAAGCCTTGAACTTTCTGTTGCAAAGCTGATAGATGTTCTTGTGGCCATGTTACAACTTTGTACTAACTTAACTGTACAGGTTGGTTTTCAGACTCTGGAAGAGATTCTCTACATCTACTTCTGGGTTTTCTGTGGAGTTTTTTCCACTGATTTTTTTTTTTTCTTTTTTAATTATCCAACTATGGATTCGTATATCTGAATGTTAGAAGTGAAAGCATTCATAGCTTGACTTCTACTTCCACATCTGCATGTAATTCACAAATTTGACCCCCAAACAGGGCCATTTCAAAACACTCAAGAGACCTGTCTTTGCCTGAATAGGTAAACCAGTTCAAAGAGATAATACCCCATTTAAGATGGCAAATTCATGTAATGTTAACAAAGAAATACTGACTGTGATATCTTAAATAAAAATAGTCAACAGTAGATTCCCTGGAATAAGACTGTTTAGGGAGTTTGGGGTATTGTTTTGTTCCATGAAGGTAGCAATTCCAAGCAGAACCAGTATTTTTGAGCCCCATCATGATTTCTGGGTTGCTTTCTGTCATGTAGGTGGTTGCTCCATTGTGTCATTAACTGAGCAATAATGTGTTAGCACAGTTCTGTAGTAACGGTTTTGCTTGAAAGATCATCTCAGTAGTTGCTCTTCTCAAGAGCATTTCAAAGAGGAGAAACAGACCTCCTTCGTAATTCTGATATTCATAAATAGAGTGATTAGTTGTAAAGCAATGTTATTTTAATATTGCAGTTAATGAAACTGTACCCGGTAAAGCATGGAAATACGAAGAACAGTATCGTGGAAGAGAGTTCCCAGGTTTTACCAATTACAGGACATTTGAAGACGTTATAAAAGAGCAGATCATAGAACTGGAGGAGCCAGCCATTGAGATACTGAACAGGGTGATTGGTACGTCTCACAGGCCTCATGAGGCTGTTGCATGGGACATACCCATGCACCTAACTTTTTTTTTTCAGGATGAGCAGATGTTCTCACTGCTGGAGCAAGAGCTCCAGGCAGGATTCTTCAGAGTGGGGAAGTGAATTTGATTGAACCTGGAGTCTTACTTCTCTAGAGCCTCCAATCTCTACATGCGGTCTCTGGCAATTATTAATACTTTTCGCAGTGGCTGGTGAAATAAAGTTAGAATGTAACTATCATAAATAACAAAGTAATAGTACAGTAGAAGTACCTGGTTGCAGCCCAGCAGCTTGGTATTCCCAAACCCAGGGAGTGGCGTTCACAAACCTGAACTGGGAGCCCAGCTTCTTTGCCAGTTCTTTGCATGCTATTGTACATTGTATCATACAGTGTATTGTATGCTGTATCATATAGTGACTGCTGAGACTGGGGGGAAGAGTACATAGTTCATCCAGTAAAAACCACCCAAGGAAAAAGTATGTCATGATCCTCTCTCTCCTATGTTTGCCTTAGGAGGCAGCTACGGTGTCTGTGCCAGACTCAGTGATCTGTCCTATATGTGGCTAGCCCCTCTCCCTGCAGGGGCAACTCAGGGGGTGAGATGCAGGTGTGCTTACATGGCCAAGTGATGGCACATCTGCTCAGATACAGCTGTAAGCACAGAAATTGCTTCATAAAAGAAATGTCAGGGATATTCAATCTCTCAGGTGTTAAGTGATTACAGCAGGTCTTTAATGTCTCACACTCTTGGACCTAGAAATCTGAATTCCTGCTTGTTTGTATTGGTCATAAAGGCACAGTGCACCAGTACAGCTGCCCAGCTATTTCTGGATGAATACAGAAAATGGGTAGCTTTCCCAAGTCTCATATTAACAATAGCTTAAAAACCTCACTTGATTACTTGACATTATTTTGTCTGTCTGTTCTTCTTCTGTCTGTCTGTTAGGACTGGTTGAAGAGAAATTTACGGAACTCACTACAAGGCATTTTGGTAATTTCCACAATCTAAACAGAGCTGTTAAGGTGAGACATTACCTGTAACCTGAGACAAGAGCATGACAGAACAGCCTTTGTAAATACAGCCATTTGTAAAGACAGCATTTGTAAATACTGCTTAGAGTACCTATCCCATTGCATTACCCTTATGCAACCGCTGAATTTCTTTTACGCCTATGCTTTTTATAAAATAAGGAAAAGCATGAAAATGATAGCACCTTTACAATGGGACTAATGAAAGTGCCTTTTGGTACAACTTTGACAAGATATAAAACATATATTCCTCACTCATTCTAGTCACACTGTTGATACATACACCACAATGCAAAGAAAACACAATATGGCAGCCTTGAAGAGTTTATAATTAATTTTAGTCCTGCAATGATTTGTAAGCATGTGGGTAGCCTAAGAGTACTAAACAGTGCTTTTCCCTTTCTGAAAGGCAAGCCATGTTGTTAGCCAGTGCAGGAATCTCATCTTCAATAAAAGGGAGCAAGAGCAGACAAGCTAACAATCATTTGACATGAGAGTTAGAAGATGACTGTTCCCAGTTTGGGGTAGAGTTAAATTATATGGATGTCGTTGAGCCTTTCTCTCAGAAAGATCTTTGAAGAAGAGATGAGAAGCAATGCTGGACAGCAAGGAAGCAGTGTCCATTCACAGGGTACTGCTTAGAAAGGAAACTAAAATGCAAATGTGAGTGAAACAGATGGTTTTCTATTTTACTTGCATGGCCAAACCCTACTGAGCTCCCAGGCCAACCAGATACCAAGCTAATAAGCTATTTCAGCCAAACACAGAAGTATTTAGGGAGGGTCTTTAGGCAGTGAGAGAGATGCAGAGGGAAGAAGTGCTGGTAAACACTGAAGATGAAAGAAAAGATGGGATGCTTTCTTAAGAGTGCTAAGAAAGCATGTTAAGGGAATTTGAGGATGACTGAGGGAACTTTGCTGCTATGCACCAACACCTTTGCAAAAAAAAAGCAAATGTCTGAGAACTTGTTCTTTTCTTTTCTAGACTAGAATTGAAGACGTTAGAGAGAAACAAGCAGAGGAGGCTCAAAGACGTATCCGGACCCAGTTTAAAATGGAGAGAATTGTATACTGCCAGGATAACCTTTACATAAATGATTTAAAATCTGTTAATGGAGAATACTTTAAGAAAGTCAGCAATGGGAAAGAATCGCAGGTTGGATCTGATTTGCAACAAGAGCCCTATTTTGTCCGGGAACTGGTTTCTCATACGAAGGCTTACTTCTATGTGAGTTTACAGATGAACATACAGCAGTTGTTCTGTACTTTGAATGCTATATACCCGCTGTCCAGGTCTCACTGTAGTTAACATATTGAGTCTTTCATACTACTACTATGCAGGGAATAGCAGCCAGAGGGTGTAAGTGCCTTGTCCAAGTACATGCATAGCTTCTGTATGAACTAATCAGAGCTTCTGACCAGTGATGAAAATGCCAGGACAAAGCTGGTCAGAAGGCTGTTTCAGCACAGTTTCTAGGGAGAAGTAGTTGCACAGTGCCAGATATGGTGATTAGAAAAGCCTGCAATTTCTTAAAATGATAGTTGGTTCCTAAAGCACATGTTAACTGCCTCCCAGCCTGGCATGGTTCCCTGATGCCCCTCGCTCAGGGAATACACTACAGGCAAGTGAGCTCTCTTTTCTAGCTTTTCACAGAGAAGGCAGTGGCTCCTGCTGACTACATAGCCCCATGCCAGTACAATGTTCCCTCGATCACTTACCAGCATGGAGGAGAGGATAGGATGAGGAAGAGCCCTTGGCCCTGTAACTACAAGTTACTGATATTCAGTTGATGGCAAGAACCCTCTACAGCAAAAGAAGCAACAGGCCTAGGATAGCTTCCCCCACTGTAAGTCTGTATCACATTTTTCAAATAACACTGGTTTCCATGAGCTTAGCAACATTATGTACAGCACTTCAGCATTTAGCACAGCATCTGAGAGCTTAGGTCAGCTCAGGTCAGCCTCAAGCCCTTCTGCATATTCCTCCTGCCAGCAGAAAGCCATGTCAGTGGCTTGCAGTTGGAGCCTAAACTAATGTGACAAGAGGAGTGATAATAAAATGTTAAGTTAAAACATCGGATTCAGCTATCTGTAGAGATCAGAGTGTGTATGCTGCATTGCAGAGAGTTCATAGAAATTAAGTCTCTAAAGACAAATGGGATGTTTTAACAAAATACTGTGTTAAAGAAAGACAGCAAAGAGAACATGCAGTATCAGTATTTGCTTTTGATATTTGTTTTGTAAAATCTCTCCTAGAAAGCAACAAGTTCAATATTAATAATGCAGTAGGTAGGTAACAGCTCACCTTGAATTCCAATAGCAAGATTTTGACAAATTCCTGCATTAAATGTTCAGGCTGCTCAGGCTGATGGAAGGAGAGAAAGCTATCTGCTTTCAGAGAATGAGACAAAGGCAGAACTGCATACTCTTCCCTGCCCCCTCACTATTCTCTCTGTTATAGCACAAATGTCTCAGAAGTTAGATATACATTTTTGTAAATGCCCTAAGAGCCATTTTCAACAATAACAAATACCAGAGCATCATATATCCATGGGACTTACACAAGGTCAAAACATTCTGCATGCAATGGAAGCTTTTAAGTGTCCATGGCCTTTGAAAATGGCATGCATGTTTCTGTGTCACCTATTGCATGATTGTCAAGATTCTGGGTAGAGTTTGGCTCCAAAAAAGCACCTATATTTAAAGCATGTAGGCTCCCTTCCACCACAGTCAGTAGTGCCTAGTGAAACATAGGCTCAGTAAGTGCTTTAGCTGACTCAGCCGAATTGCTTGCTATTGACTAGATCTCTGCAAAACAGAAAGAAAAGCTAAACATCTAGTCTTAGGTATTTTTCAGCTTGAGTTCAACCCCACCTTTGTACATGGAAGATTTGCACCCACTGAGCTCCAGATGTAAAGCCAGAAACACCTTATACTTCTCTGGAAACAGGCTGCCCAAACCCTATAGGACCTACAAATCAAATGTGCCTCTTCAAGGTCTTCCCACTACCATTTGCAAGTCAGATGCTACAAGAAGAAAGGAAGACAGCACGTTTCTCAATTGCAACCAGTCTCTCAGGAGTAAGTGCTCACCTGGCACTAGGAGGGCTGGAGACAGCTCCCTCCCAGCACTGGAAAGGTTTCAAACCTCCCACTGTCCAAGAGCACCAGCTAAGCCCCCAGGGCCTGCAGATGTCTCAGGGAAAGTGTCCCACAAGCTCTTCTAGGTCAATGCTTCAATTTGTATATACAAATAGCAGACCAGACAGTTTGTCAGCTTAGCAGAAAATTATCTCATTGAGATATCAATAGATGGAATGTAGGCAAAACAAAGCCTCACTACTGCTGAAGACATTTTCCCTTAAAGCTAATGCTTGCTCCAAAGTTGTCTTCCACTTAAAAGGACAACCACATCAGAAATACCATCTAAATACAGAAATTTAGCAAGTTTAGTAAAAAACACTCTTTGATTTCCTGTACCATAATGGATTGGTAACATTTCAGAGAACACACGTTTGATGCCAGAAATTGCTCACAAATACTGTTCGTCAGGTATGTCCTCGGATAAGCTCTTACCAACAATAGCTGGCAGAGCCAAGTGGCAAACAGCCTGCCTTGGGTTTAGTTCACTGAGAGAAAAAAGCAACAGTTGACATTCCCGTAACTCTTAGTTTTTAGACCTTTAGGTACAAAAAAGACTAATGGCAAACATTTTTTTTGGTTCATAGAAGCACTCCCTTCTTGACCAATAACTCAGTGCTTAACATTTAAAAATGTGCTGTCATTTCTTCCCATACTGCCTATAGCCCCTTCCTTTTTTGGTTCTTTCAGGGACATAAGTCTTCTGCCTTTTTCCCCCTTTTTGCAGGGAGCAAGTAAACGCCTCTCTAATCAGATACCTCTGATCATCCTGTCTTCTGCCTTTCATGACTTTGGGGATGACTTACAGACCACAATGTTGCATCTTTTACAAGAAAAAGACAAGTTAAGCCATCTCCTTCAGGAGGACAGTGAAGCGGCTAAGCATAAGCACTACCTCAGTGAACGAGCTGATCGTCTCACCAAAGCCCGCCAGTACCTGCGAAACTTCACCTCACTGTAGATTTCTTAATTTTTCAGTCTACTTGTTTTCTAGCATTATTGAGGAACTTCATAAAACCCCCTGAAAATGTAACGCCAGCACTCATTTCTAGTGTTATTTTCCATAATCATGTTACAGGCAAATATCTACCCTTATGTTAAGTGCTCTTTTGTGGGAGTTGTGATTGAATAAATGCTGTCCAATTTTTAAACATTTGCTTTATGAACTTTGTATAACCATTAAAATAATTATTAAAAAGCTAGAGCTCTTGAGGGTTGTGGTGTTTTGTTTGTTTGATGAGGATGAGGGCTTTCAGCTGTGTAACTCACAGACTGTAGAAATCACCTTACCTAACTAACTATCCTAGATGAAGCATAGTGCACAACCTTAGCAATCCCACACTTCCCTTTGTGGTTTTGCTTCACAGTGATTGATGTCTTTCCTGCCACAGCCTGAAAAACAACTCTGCAAGCTATTGCCGCTGTTCAGTCCCAGCCCAGGAGGTAGAGTGTACACAGTGGGCATGAAACAATTCCAGCCTAGATGGAAAAATAGTGAACCACATTTTATCAGGACATCTACAGGATGCTGTTGGCTCTGCTTCTCCTTTGTCAGTTCTCTGATTTGTAGAGAAAGGCTGATGCTGTTTCTTTTAGAAGCCTGGAGCATCACCTGAAATTTTGGGACTGATGGGCAATTCAATAGATGGCAGGACTTGGATTACCAAGAAATTAAACCATTCAGGATGTTAAACATCAGAAGGGTATCCCTCCCCAAAGAACAGAGCAGCTTTCCAAGAGCTCTTTCATTTCACGAGAGCCAGTGCAAAATATAACACTGCATGCTGTACTCACAGCATCTTTCATATGAAGGATTTATTTTAACAGGCAAAGCTGTGCTTTATGTAGCAAGAGTAGCATCGGCATTTAGCTGAGAAAAAAGTGCTCATGCCAGCATGGCATGCAGTAATTTAGAAGATGCTTACAAGAGAAGCTGCCTCTTCAGGCTAGAATAGTAGGTGTTTATCCCTCTGGCATGAAACAGCAGCAGTAAACGGCTGACTTCTGTGGCACAGCTTTCACCCCAGTACAGTGTACAACTTTCTTAACTGTTTAGCACTACAGCCAGTTTTCCACATTTCAGTATAATGTTTTGCTACTATTGACTTGAAATGCTGCAGGTCAGAAGCCATAACAAAGCCTGATACCACAATAACTTATTTAATCTCTATTTTGAATGTACTTTCAACTTGTTGACTACTTCATGGTATTCCCCAAGGCACACTTGATGCTCATGTGCTATTGAAAACACCCTGTCTCACATCTTGAGAAGACAGGCAGGCACACATTGCTTCAGGCAGCATGAGAGGTAATAACAAAACAGGGTGTGACTCCATGGGCCCACTGCCTTTAGGCTAAACTTGCTTATTTCATTTTCACAAGCCAGAGTGATTTCATTAGACCCAGCTGCTAAAACAAATGCAGCATTCAGGGACATCAAGCTCTCTTGCCTTGGGATTGTTCAAGGACCTTAGGAAAAAAAAAAAGCCTCTTGGATCACCCTCTTGTGTTGTTTTAATTTGTTTTGTATTTTGAAGGTTTTCTTTCCTAATTGGATTCTCAAAGCACTTCAGACACTGAATGCAGCAACTGTCTCCAAAAAAAAAGAATTAAAAAATCCCAACACCAAACCCAAACACAAAGCAAAAAAATACAAACCACTACTAAGGAAAAAGACTTATAAAAAAAATTTATTTGGTGCAGTGTTTACATGCAAGATAATTGCACTTCAGTACTAAAGGAGAAAACAAGTGGAGTCATTTCATTCAAAAGATTTATCTGTCTTAAAATAGACTTGTTATGGCTTTTTGATCCTTTGCACTATGATTATAAATTATTTTCGAAATCGTACTTGAGGTGGCACTCTTGACCTTAATTACATTTTGCTAAAAACATACATGCAGATACATAAAAGGAGAGCTGTAAGGAATTAAAAGCCAAATTTTATAAATGAGGTAGTTCATCTGGTTACACAGAAATGCAAAGTTGTGTTTCTTTGTATAAAACATCCAGCCTCTGTACGTGTGTCTGCAATCAGAGGTCTATTGCTTGCAACACAGCCTTACTGAAAAACTTTGCCTTTTGCCTTTCTCAGCAGGGAGAGTTCAAGACTCAACCTCAATGTGCGCAGCCAGGAACCTCGCCTTTGGGACACTTAATTCACTGCTTCCTGCTACAGCTCTGGACCGTAGCCTACATCAAGAGTGACAGCAGGTTTTGCCCTCTGGGGGTTCAGAGAAGCTTAAGGCAGAACAGCACAATTGCACTGGTCTCACTTCAAACAATCTGACTTGGATGACTGCTGTGCTGAGATACAGAGGGCTTTTAATTACCTGAATATATGGTTGGGTTTTTTTGTGTGCCTCTACCATAATGCATGAAAACTTACCGTCATACGTATACTCCTCCCCTTCTACTCTGCTCTCATGAAACCCGACCTGCAGTACTGCGTTCAGCTCTGGGGCCCCCAACATAAGGACATGAAGTTGCTGGAGCGAGTCCAGAAGGGGCCACAAGGATGCTCAGAGGGCTGGAGCACCTGTGCTGTGAAGACAGGCTGAGAGAGTTGGGCTTATTCAGCCTGGAGAAGGCTCAGGGAACACCTCACAGCAGCCTTCCAACACCCAAAGGGGGCCTACAGAAAAGCTGGAGAGGAACTTTTTATAAGGGCATGTAGGGACAGAACAAGGGGAAATGGCTTCAGGCTGAAAGAGGGTAGATTTAGGTTTAAATATTAAGAAGAAATTCTGTACTATGAGGGTGGTGAGGCACTGGAACAGGTATCCACAGAGAAATGTGGATACCCCATCCCTAGCAGTGTTCGAGGCCAGGTTAGATAACCTGGTCTAGAAGAAAAGTGTCCCTGCCCATGGCAGGGGGACTGGAACTAAATGGTCCTTAAGGTCCCTTCCAAACCAAACCGTTCTGTGATTCTATACAAAAAAAAAAACAACATTCATTTATCTTTAAATTGCCAACCAGCAGCTCAGAGAGTCAACATTCATATTACTTAACATTTAATTTAAAACACTACTAAACCAACTGTCTCATCATCCTGCTACAAAAATCTTAAATTTTGATTAAAATTGCCATTATAAGCCTGTACCTGATTATCAAGTCAGAGTTACTCAACTAAAGAGAGACATTTCATTAAGCAGGTGACAGAACAGTTTCTGCCAGGCACAAGACCACCACAAGAAGAAAGGTGATCATTGTGATAATCCTTCATTGATTAAGATCAGTCACTGTAGCCAGCACAGAACCGAGTGTACAATCCTTCATGATATTTTTTAAAATAATTCAAAGAGAAAAAAAAAAAATCATTTGCAAAGTGAATAAATATCCCAGGCACCCATGGCTTCATTTATTCCTGTTCTCAGAAACATCGATCAGCAAGGAGGACAGCCAGCATTGTCATCGGTTTGCCTGTGTAGAAAAACCAAACCAACAAAGGTTCAAGTTCTGTTGACAGCTGACTGACTACCTTATCAATTACTTAGATGCTTAGCAACAGAATAGCCCCATTAGCAGACAAGTCACATTTATTATTACTTTTTTTTAATAAATAAAATCAAGGTTTAGAATTTTGGACATTTTCAATTATTAAAACCACCCAAATATTTTACCTGCATGTTTTTATAAATCCAATCTGTAAACACAGTCATATTCCCATACACTCCTGGTCTATTGGGAGTAGCACAGCCAGATCCCCAGCTAGTATCTCCAACCAGCCACCACAAGGAGTTTTTGTTAGTTACTAGAGGACCTCCACTGTCACCCTGCACAAAATGCAAATGTTTTATTATTGACCTGGCCACCAGAAAAGACACAATGCATTTCACTTCAGGAATAGAGGTTAAGTTTCAAAAAAAGCTAACCACCATTGTAAGGCAGCCACTAAAACAAAATGTGATGGCAATTACAGTATTAAATAACGACTGCTTGCAATAGTGATGAAAATTGTTTGCCCAACGCACTAAATGATACAGGCATTATTGACTTTCGTGTTCACTGACATAATGGTAGGGTATCACCGTGGTTATTAAGATCATTCATTGAACTTTAAATACCAGATAACAAAACATCCTTGAAGCATTCAAAAGGACTGCCTCACCCTCTTTGGTTATTTACTGAGAACTCGGAACTGGCAGCCATTCAGAAGATGAAACAAAATCTCTCCCTTTTTAAGGGACGCACCATCAAAGGAATTGGAAACTCAACCAAAATGTTATCTTTCCTTCCTCACCCCCCCCATCTGTTTGTAATTAATAGATTATTAGAAAAGCCTACTAGTGAGACCACAAAAATAATCAGATCATTATTACGTGGTAATGAGGAATACTAACCTGACAGGAATCAATTCCTCCTTCTAGATATCCAGCACAGATCATTGTAGGTAAAATTGCACCATTATAGATAAAGACAGAATTACACGTAGACTGTTCTATTAAGGGCACCCTAACATAATTCAAGTTATTTGATGTTTTACCTAAAAATGAAACACACACAAAACCACACATACAAAGACAAAAATAGAACAAGCATCACATTATGTCGCTATTATAAATCTCTTCTGCTAGCACTGTTCAAGATTAAACATACTAGAAACATTGGGATGGACACTTATGATATACGGTCCACCACACAGAGAAAACGACATTGAAACTCCCTCCCAAGAGTTCAGTGAGTTACCCTGCTTTGCTGTCAATGGGCTGTAAAGCAAAAGAAGATGGCACCTACCTGTCTACTCCAACCCCAAATCAACTGTGTTACCTATAGGGCTATTAAAAGCACATGAAATCTGCAAGAGGCAAAGAACACCTCCCTACAGTTGCTGTGGTTTATGTAGAAGAGCGAAGTATTCCAGAGCCACTCTTTACCTCCTTGGCTCTCTGCTCCCCATCCAGATATCCAGCACTCCTGATTAGGCTCAAACATCATTCCTGGATTAGGCAGACAAACTGGCTGTACAGTATCTACAAAAGAAACACAGTAACATCTGTAATCCCAGATGTCCAGACATAATTCAAAATAAATGCATAACCATAATCATGACCACCACTTCAATACATACACACCATGAGTTTTCCCTGTACTTTACCTTCTGCATTCTCTTTGCAAAACCCTGCTGAAAATGATTACAAAGAAAGCAGGATTCAAAGGCTACACATGAGAAGCATGAAACACAAAAACCTGCTAAACAGAGGTTAGCAGC